TAATAACCAAATGGAACGAGCAAGCCAACGACGAGACCTGAGCAACATAACTACGAGACAGAAACATTCCAACGGTGAGATATAAACATACCAACGAGGAAGCGCTCGAGTATTATACGAAATACTCGAACGCCCTAACGAAAACAAAGCGAACGGAAGTCGTAAAATTTGTGAAAGGAAAGATTTAACCAACGATGAGACATAAGTAAACCAACGACGAAGCATTCGAATATTGTAGAAAATACTCGAATGCTGAAAGAAACACAAAAAGAATGAAAGAAATAAAATCTGGAAGAAGAAAAATAATTAGAACCTGAAAGAAAAGATAATTAGTACCTGAAAGAAGAAATTATTGTTAAATTATTTAAGAGAGTGGACAATGGCCACTGAATAGCCATTGATCTAGCCAACGATGATATATTAATAAACCAACGACGAAGCATTCGCATATTGTACAAAACACTTGAATGCATAAACAATGAAATCTAGAATAAAATAAATAGAATCTGAAAAAAAAAGAAAGATAATTAAAACCTGAAACAAAAAGAAAGAATATTAACGCGGTCCTCCCGCAGTCGGAGGGACAACTGGCTCGAGCCTGCACGCGGGCCCCTTATATAGCGGCGGCCGGGCGAAGATCGGCGAAAATTTCCGAACTTTACCGATTCCTTTAAAAGTTACTTTTTCGCTGTAATAACTAACAATTTATTAACTTTTTTGACTTCTTTCGTTAATATGCGTTGCAAACTATTTGTTATTAACAATTTTAATTTGTTATTTGCAATAAGTGTAGCGATTTACCAACTTATTGCAAATTTTGTACAAATACGTTGTATATACTAGTAACAGTCTATAATTTAGTCATTTTTTTCAATTATACTATACATTTACATTGTGAACAATTTGTTAATAAAAATAAGTGCAATAATTTTTACACTTTTACAAATTATAGGTACATTTATATGTAGACACTTCAGGAATCACCTAATAAATATTACAGATTAGAGAAAGAGTTAAAATTTTTTGGTGAGTAATTTTGTTCTGTCATCTTTAATCATTCGTGTTTAATGATTTTATTTGGTTATTAGAACATTATCTTCGTATAATTTATTTCAATTATGGACTTACTTTCATAATCTACAAATTTTTCCATTTATTTATAAATTTTAATTATACTTAAGTATAATTTCTCTTAATAATTGTTTAAGTTTTGCAATCTTCTTTGATGTTAATATCGTTAATAGTGGTAATGACATTGCGTGCAAATTTCGGATTTGGTAGTCGAAAATAGTGGTAACGTCGTTATGTGCAAATTCCTGTTTTACTTATGTCGATAATATGGAAACAACTCTATCCCCAAGGTCTTGTTTTGATAGTGTCGATAATAGTGGGCGGAATATTATCCACAAATTTCTTGTTTGTTATTATCGAAAATAGTGGAAACGACATTATACGCAAATTTCCGTTTCATATCATTCCGCTATATGTAAAAGAACAGGAATCTTGTTTTGGTTTTTATTGTCTTATCTTGTATTTTGATAACATACATAAGAAATTGTAGCAAGAGGGGCGACGAATGAAAATCAATGTGAGGTAAATGGACAATGTAAAGAAGCAAAATCCTGTTATATCGACACAGGTTATACTTGGTCGTGAAGTTGTCTACTTACGATACTACTGCTGTTATAGCCTCCTGTACTAGCTGTTGATTAGATACAGTACAATTAATATAATTAATTGGTGTAATTTATTATTATAATACTAACATCTGTATTCATGATGGATAATTGATCGATGAAAATGGACAAATATAAACAATGACACGGTGTCTCATTGCCATATTTGTACCTGCAGATCTTTCCGTAAAACTGAAACTTATAAAATACGTACCAATCTGTTTCATCTCTTCACCAATATCTGCAAACACGATTCTAGAAAACTCAATTAAAATACCCACCATTTCCCTCTCCCCTGCAACTACAAATTTCCCAAACCTTTCTCCACCCGCGCATGCAAAAGGAACAAAGCATATTCTCCCCACTATCTTACTGCTATTCGATTAAAAAACGACCGTGGATTCTCAGATTGGCCGACATAATCCAATTCCGAATTATCCACGGTTCCGTTGGGGCAGCTTTCACGCGTGTGCACCGGTGCATCTCGATCGTCATCCAGTCGAATACGCTACAATAACGATCGAATTCTTGCATTGTCGTCGCTCGACGCTGGCCTCGTCTAAATACCGAACCATCAGGGGCACCCCTGGATCAAGGACCCCACCGTAGACGCGTGAAAAATCGTTTAGAAGCACAAGAGTGGTCTCGACTCGGGGCACACGGTGTTTCGAGTGGCTTCGGAAAAGGCTGGTTACCAGCTAGAGAGATCGTTGCTGCGAACGGGACCCTTTTCATACGAAATCTCTCACTCTCTCTCTCTCTCTCTCTCTCTCTTTCTCTGCCATTAAACGGCCACTGACTGTGCTGACTCAATCGAGAAAGGGTTGGAAGGATCGGCTGAGCCTCCGGTAATCCACGGCTTACACGGGCTTGAGTGTAAATATTGATTCCAATCTGGTGTCGACGACAATGGGGCTGGAAGAGGCACCGTTCCGGACCATCTATGACGGTCTCAGCGCAAGCCGCTGTCAAAACAGTCATTACCACCTTGCAATGAACGATCTGGACCTCTTCCGGCTTATCTACGAGATCTGTGTCCATCGATGGCGGTCAGAAGATGTCGAAGATAACGGACGAAACGATTTGGAGGAAACTGTGGAGCTTGAGTTGTTTTCTTAAGCAATTTCTTAAATAATTTCTGCTTCTTCTTCGAAATGGCGGAGTGTAGGTGAGAGGTAGGTAGTAGAATTGCAGAACTGAAAATGCAATCTTGCCAGTCGCTGACAGATGGGCCTCAACAGTCCTGTCCAACGGGCCTTGACGGTCGCTGACAACCGGATCGCTTCTCTGTGTCCAACGGAACACAGTATCTTCTAATTCCTTTACTATCGGTCACGGACCACTCTATCACTCATTATTAATTTTTAGAACAGTGAGAAAACTGTAAGAACGTAAAATACCACTGACCGTACTCTCATTCGAAAACTGGGCAAGTTCCGATGGCGGGTGGCACGGTTAACAGCAAAATCGGCAGCACATCGAGCTATTTCGTGTTAACGTGGCGAAGAATAATACGCGACCGAGGCAGGAAAACATTTGCGAAAATTAATTACGAGTCTGTCTGAGCCTGTGAATGTTTACTTTGGTCCTATTTACAAACCACGCCTCTCGGTACGTCATGTTTAACTGATCTCCTTACCATGAATTATAAACGATATTATACACGAAGAGGTTAAAAAATTCTCGAACAGTTAAGCGGAGACCAGAGTGTGAAATAAATCTATTTCGAGACTAAACGCTTTTAAATTTTTGGCTCCTATTCCTTTGGGTCACTCTTGCCACACTCCTTACAAAAATGAGATTAGGGTTATCAATCATAGAGTATTTTTGTCGATCGGGTTTGTACTCCTATAGTATGTTTGTACTAAATACAATGGTGGTAGCCCGTCTTTAGTAATTACACCTGGAAATGTCGTATATAAAAGTAGAAATTATTAAAATATGCTTGAGTAGTAAAATTGTAATATTAATACACACGAAGATGCCTCTTTTTATAGTGAACAGCCGCGATTGTTCTTTGCCCAAACATTTTAGTATGTCCTGGATTACTATTCCGGAAGTTGGAAGTCCCTGCCAGAATATTTTGGAAGGTGTTCCAGAAATTACAGTTCGTACAAAGTGGATATGAGAAACTCTTAACAATATTGATATTTGAAAAGAATAACACTTGAAAATTATGTAATAATTGGATTATATTTGTTGTAATCATAAAAAATTGTACAATTCTCCCGATACGCTGACAACAAGATAAAAATCCAGTTTGTATATCATACAAAAGAAGAAGAACGATATTAAATAGTAAAGACTAAACCACTCAGCGATACCGCCATAATCTTTTAAATCCGAGCACATGTCACAGGTTTTTCTACAAAATTACTTTCCACGAAACTCAACCTCCTCTTGTCCGAGTAAAAAATTTATCTTATCAAAATTAAAACGAAACGTTTCTCAGGTACATACATACTTCGAAAATTACAAGATACATCTATCCAAATAAAACGAGGATAAAAATATATAAATATGGTTTCACTTCGTAAGATGCAAACACAATTTTTGTACAGAAACAAAGCTACCATATAATCACTACCTTAAAACGTCCTAAACTTCCTTAAAAAATATAGTTTTTGAAAAAATGTTAGGAAACCGCTCATCTACCTTTGCTAATCCTATCAACCTCCATGCCATTGGTGTTCACTTGTCTAGATGTTTCCGTGTTCAAAGGCGCGCCACCGAAACCTAACCTCGTCTTCGGCGGAAGTCCATTGAACTCCGGAAGGTTCTCCATTTCGTACATCTGCATGTGCTGCGCGAACGAGTCTGCGTGAAGTCGTGTCGCCATTATCCCGAATCCCTCGATCAGGGCCAAGAACACGCCGCCGACGGTGGCGCTACCTATCATTGATGGAACTCCGGTTCTGGCGGCCAAGACGCCTCCCGTGAGGGCGCCGCTCAATATGGAGTTCCATGGATCCTCTTTCGACCGACAGCGTATCAAGGTGCATTCGATCGCGGAGAAAAGGCCACCCCAGATGGCGAAGTTGCCGGAAATTTGAGGAACACGGTTCTTCACCGTCATTAGACCACCGTATAGTCTTCGCTGGAACCCCGATGGCGCGTTCCGGAAGCCGATGACGCTCTGATAGAAGAGGGTGGTTGTAGAAAATGATTTATAGCTTCGGTGTTTGTAAGTATCGAAATATTACATGTGATGTGACACGATGTCTTGATAATTGAAATACGATGAAGATAAATAGTAATATGTAAATATATTTCTATTCTTATAAAAGTTAATATTAATTTTGACAAAAATAGCTGAATGTTATAGGAAATTAAAATAAAGGCTCGATACCAGTAATTTGGATTAGTTTGATAGTTCGGGGATTAAATATATTCGATGAATTATTGTGAATAATATTTAAAAATTTGTTTAATATTTGACGAATAGTGTTATATAAATTAGTTAGTAAATAAATTTCTTGTGGGCATAAGTTTAAATTGCTTCTCAATTCTAGTTTCTATTTTTCAAGTGTATTGTTATGGGAATGGCATGACAATTAGGTGGTAAATCAGGGTTTGTAGTAAATATTTTAGGAAAGGGTTAAAATAAGTTTAATTATAAGACTTCTTTGATATATTAGTAAACATAACCGATCAGCAGAAATTTATCACTCATGATTTAATACCAATTGCACGCGATGAAATAATAATAGATTAGAATCTATTCATAAATCTCCGTTGTGATTGTAAGAAGAATATTAACATAAAATATTTTAACACGATCAGTATGAAATTAATTGCATTACCATAAATCACTTGAAGTATTAGCGGATTATTCCAGTCGAATTTAATCGATTTCTACCTAGATGACTAGTCCTCGCTATAATATTTCAATTGCGTGAATTTACTAACACGATGAAAGAAGGAAAATAGAATAACTTTGAAGTATACGTAGAATCTTGAATATTTGTCTCGTTAATGGTTGAAATTTTAAATATCATAACACTTATCCATAATTAAATATCCATCTAAATCTTAGCTTTATTTTTCTACAATTTTCTTTAAAATCCTTCTACCCTAGAAGCCTTTACTAACTCACAAAATTCTACCAAAATTCACCAAAATTGCAGGTTTCCCTTTTTAACCTATTAACAGTTTATCCCGTAACAGTCACGGGTAGAGCCAGTCAACAGTCAAGTACTATACAGGGACTAATTACTAACAAGATACATATAAAACACATTTTTTAAATTTTTTATTACATGTCAAAGCATTTTCGAACACAAAAAAGGTGGACACTCTTTTCACCCGAATTCGTAATTTCATCACACTGTGAAAAGGTTAAAATTACAACGAGATATTTTTAATCGATGGGAATAATATTTCGCAAGAAAAGAAACTCAGTCAGTGGTAGATCTATTCAATATCAGAAACATGTTCGATATTTTCGCCTAACACTTGTTCAATAGAGCCTGGCCCTTAGGCGAAGGGGTAAGTCGGGACATGCTCAGCAGGGAACAAATAGTACGTGAGCATCCTAAGTGAATAATAAACATCTCGCTGGGGTTAGATACTCGGGGTTCCGCGTTTAAGGTGGCCATATTGGTCCCCTAGCCTCCGGCCTTGGTTCTTATTTATCCGACTAGCGTGGCGACCCTTCTCGTAGAAATGATTATTCGGCTATTATACGATGATTACCCATTGGTACGTGGGTGTAACACGAGAAATAAGTGTGCAGTTTCATGTCGCCAAGGGATCTGGTGACAGACCGAATAAACCCATCGAGTGTTACCGCGTATTTAACGCCGCTTCGAAGCACATGTTCGTACATCTGTACACGTGCTCTCCTTATCAATCTTTATCCCTTTGCTTCCCTGAATTGTTATAGGTTATTCTTAGACAGTTTTAATAATATTGTAACCAAATGCGAGGAACGATATCTTTATTCTCGGTCCGAGGGTGTCATTTAGTGTTTTAAAAATAGATTCTTGGGATCATTGCGTTATTGTATTCTTACATGGGAATTTTAGTGATCCTGCGAACAACTGTGTGATACGTTATTGTTGAATACGAAGAGAAGAAATGCAAGGTTTAGTTGAGGTTAATAGATAGTAAGTTTTATATTATTTAATTATTTTTATTTTTACAGGTAATACTTTTTATCGAGCTCCAATTTTATTTTTTAATTTTAAATTTAATAAATGCCGAAAGAAATCAATTACAATAATTTCTTTCCTTTTTTAATTTCAATTGCTTATTTTTTAAATGACGGAAAAGGAATAGGATTTAACATTGTTACCTATATTCAATATTTTAATCCTTGGAAAATCCAAAACGTCGATACAATTTCACATGCACAGGATGAAAAATGTCTGGGGAAGAAAAGAGTTCTACGTGTGTGCATAGCAGGCTTTTCGCTACTCTTTTTCAAATTGAATCTCACGAGCCGACGTGGTTTATGGCATGCAAATTGGGTTCGACCTCCTCTGCCACCCTTTCTGCCAAATCCTAATCCAATCCGCTTCTACGTAAAGTCTACCTGCCCTACACTTTTGTACGAAACACCAACCTGAAGAGCATAAGCACCTTACGACCAACCTTCATATGACAACTGTTTCCGTGAATTTTTCGTACTGTAACTCCATTTTTGCAGCTGCTCCTGAATCGTAACTTCACGGCACGTTCGCACAGAAAATTCATTTCTATGATCATTTCTGTGTAACAAAATAATTTATCCATTTCATTCGTTCCGTTTCCTAAATTTGTATTACGTATATCTATTATTAACAAATATTCTCGCATTCTTTTCTAAACATATTTTGTAAACATTTCTTCCATATTTTTCGAGAGATATGTCGGTATCATGTTTTCTCAAAATTTATTCCACTATATTTTACTGTATTTTACTTCTAACGTATTCGAAGATTAATTTCCAACCCCGTAAGTATGCGGTGTGCTCAATAGCACTGATAACTTCGTGCTCGACCACATAAATCCACCAGTTATTTAATCAGTGTACTTCCCTTCCGTATTTTTCGAGAGATATATCGATATCATATTTTCTCAAAATTCATTCCACTGTATTTTATTATATTTTACTTCTAACGTATTCGAAGATTAATTTCCAACCCTGTAAGCATGCACCGTCCTCGATATCACTGATAACTCCGTGCTCGACCACATAAATCCACCAGTCATTTAATCACCAATACTTCCTACACGTAATGCTTCAATCTCGTATTCTATTACAAAGAATACTATGCGTGGTTTGGCCGCACCCCGCGATACGTCCGTTTACATGTACATATTTAACGTTACGTCGCGTCTAGCACGAGAACCCCTTTCAGTTTCCATTATGGAGAACGATTAACAAAACAGGGGATCCCCTTTGTTGTCGACTTCGACCACGGAGACGACCGCCGTGCCACGCGACAGCTGCCCGATAATATCGATGTCCTTCCATCTTGATATCGGCATGCCCACTACAAATTATTATTCCTTATTGTCATATCGATCCTTTTGTTCGTCGTTCTTTATCGACCCTTACTGTATTTTAACTTCGTTTTTTTTCCTTTCTAATATTTCTTATACGGGTTTATATGGCAGCGCGGCATTCGAGGAATTTTTTGAATTTAAAACAGAAATACGTTTACTTTTAAGTTGAATTGGAATATTTTCATCGATTTATAAGGTTTCATGAGTTAAAAAAATATTGAGATTAGATTATGAATTTCTGTAAGAAATACGTTATTAAAATAGGGGAAAAATAGGGGAAAATAAAAAAGAGTTTGGATACCATATGAAATCCAATGAGAACATGTCATATATGTTATAGAGTAAATGTTAATCTTAATATCAGATGTATATGTCATATTACATGTGCGCGTGTGTGACATTATCGATGATATAGGTACCGATATGTAGATGCATAATGCATGATGTGTATGATCTTAACGACATCTAGCGAGTAATTAGGTATCCACAATTGCAGCAATCTTCAGTCTGAACAAAGTACTTTGGCATTAAAGACATATGTCGTTATTATATAAAAATTATTATATAAAAAGTAAAAACAACTTTAAAAATAAAATTCACTGCTGTATTTACTCCGCGTAAAATCATTAATACGAACATGCTAAGGTAAATAAGATATCGTTCAAATTACACAATACGTGAGATATTACCATTAAAGGTATTACCAATACTATCGCAAGATTTTATTTCTCGAAGAAAAATCTTTTCAGTGGATAACGTTTAGCTATACCAGGATATCTGATCAACGATAAGCGACCGGGAAAGATTCTTGCTATTCGTGATCGGCAATTAGGAATACAAGATCAAAGCAGTCGTTCCGTCATGGTTAACGTCCAAATGTCGCCAACATCAGCGAAGTTTCGAATGAATATTTCAGGGTAACCGCCACCGATGGGATCCCGTTGATGCTGCAACCCTCCCTATGTTGTTCCTGCAAAGAGCATTTGTGTAATCTATCAGTACATCCGGAACTTTCGGGGATGAAACCCTTTTGTCGCTCGTGCGAGGTGCTTAAGCGGTTGGTTAAGTTGGAAATGGAGTGCTGTCGCCACACACGTAAATCACGCTTACATCTTTTTCAAAGAACACCAGCGAATTGCCGTCGCTATACCCCACGATTTTCTATTAATTTCTCAATTTGATTTCCGCCATTTTGTACTAGTTAGCGCGTCGAAAGTGATTTCTTTAGGGTTAATTATTTATTCAATTTTCTTGGCTAATTTATTGATTAAATTTATATTTTATGTTTAAAATAATAGAACGCAGTAGTAGTTGTATAGTACCTATATAGGATATTCTTCTTGCTTATTTATTACATGTCACAGATATTTTCGTACATCGTATTATTCGAATGCTCTATTCGTTCATCAAAAATGAATCACCATGAGAATTTATTCCTTGCAGATTATTATATTAAAAAATAAACCTTCCTATTTGGAATTGATTGTTCCGAGCAATAGATTAAAATTGAACTCGATGGACTCGTAGTGTTACTTACGTAATTCATTTCATTCGAATTTATATTTGCTCTATTAAAGTCATTGGATCATAAATGTTCTAAAGAATCGTTCCCGATTTGCATATACAATAGACGAACCTAATTCT